CATTGCTACCCGCGTGTTATATTTAGGGTGACTTCTGATATCTATGCATGTAATTCATGTGCAATGTCAACACGAGCTGACAGCGATGTCAGAAACACGTACAGGATAACAAAATTATTCACATTATTTTATGAACACTGTTTGTTTGAACACATTTCAGTGCCTGAGAGTCTCTACCAAGTTTTATATTTCCTTCCTTTGTTGCGTATGGTTGTCCTTAATGCTAATGCTGGCTCAGCTAAACTGCAGGGAAACAAAATGATAATAGCGAATAACAAGATTAGGGCACATCATTTTTAACTATGGCTCAAAAATGGGAATTTATTTGAATTTATGGTACATGTTTAAAAAATAAAAAGGGGTGAAAACTGGATGAAAATGAGGTTAAATTCTGATTATATCAATATTTTAATATAAAATATTTGTTTTTGTTAGTTTTACTGTTATTTTTAGTTGTAATTATTTATTTAGTATTTTGAGCATGATGAGGAGCTCTGTTGTGGGTTTATCCCCATTTATTTCTCCACCTTTAACTCTGGGATGAAAATCTATTTCAATAATTAGTTTTGTGGAAATCGATCAATGAGGGTCCTATTGATATTGCCAATAGATAGATAGATAGATAGATAGATAGATAGATACTTATTCAAATCAGTACACCGCCACACTTGTAAGCTCCCACCGTACATCTCTCCATCCCCCCCCCCCAACCTCCACTCATTTACTGGCAACTAATCCACTGCCCAGCTTAATCCCTCAACCTCCTCTCTCTCTCTCTCTCTCTCTCTCTCTCTCTCTCTCTCTCTCACTCTCACATACACACATACGCAAGTTGTACACTTTCTCTCTCCTCCTGCACACACTCTTGTATAAAATAAAACACAACTCAAATACACGATTATACAGATTTTACAAACTCACTATGAGCGGTGACATTTCTTTACTGAACACATTCTTGAAGTTAACAACAGCCCTAAATGCTATTTGAATGAATGGAAAATTCAGCCTGAGAATCAAACTGAAACCTGAAGTCTGCAACCTGAAATTGACCAACTGACTTAAAAATCGAAAGAATTATTTTATATTCATTTGAGGTTCATATGAATATAACTGTAAGTGTGTATAAGAGTTGCCTCTACTCATTTTCATGGCTCATGTTCACATGAGGACTTATTTTAGCTGCAGTAGCTGTGTCCCCCCCATCTACTTCTCTTCCTCTTTCCCATCCATTGTATGAAGGAGCCGATCAAACAACACCTACACACTCTCTAAAAAAGGATGAAGCAGGAGTTGTGGAAATACTACTGTGGTGAGAAAGACAACCCATGTTCCCCAGAACTTGAATGAATTTTTGGTTGTTGGTGCATTAACGTATTTTCACTGGAGTAAATGTACAGCACATCACACATAACTATGTTTGCTAACTTCATTAGTAAGCAAACAGTTATTCTATACCGTAATAACAGAAGAGTTGAACAATGTAAAAGTTCCCTCGTCTACAGTACAATTTATTTCCACCTTAAAGGTCCAGTGTGCAGAATTTAGTGGCATCTAGCAGTGTAGTTCCTGATTGCAACTCCCTCACTTCAACACATGAAAAATGCAAACAGCCCCATCTATAGCCGGTGATTTGTTTGTCCCTTCTGGGTTACTGTAGAAACATGGCCGATCCGCAGCGTCTGTAGATAAAAACAGCTCATTCTAAAGTAACAAAAACACAATGATTCCTATATTCAGGTGATTATACACTAATTACAACATACCTGTAAATATTATATTCTATTTCTGCCAATAGATCCTCCTAAATGTTACACACTGGGCCTTTAACACTGTCCCACATTCAGTGGCTGCAATCAAACGTGCACCTACCTAAAGACTGAATTTATGAACTGGACTAAATTTTATATGAGATCAAATTCCATGCTCCAAGAATGACACTGCATATATTTCCTATAAGCCCCTTCTTGTAAACTACTAATTCTAGGTAAACCCACAGTATATCAACAACAACTCTACAGTACATGAAATTATTATGACAGAGTAAGTAAAACCAAACATTTTTTTAACAACTGTTGAATAAACCAATCTTGAAGATATGTGATAAAAACATATTCTTAGCAAAGAAAAATATAAATGAATGACAAATTAAAGACGATTGGACGTCTCAAGAGCAACGTTGCATGAAACTCTTATATTCTCTCTGATAGAACCGAGAAGCAAAAATCTGGACAAACATTCATACTTTATCTTTCACACACACACACACACACACACACACACACACACACACACACACACACACACACATATACACACACACACACACACATATACACACACACGCACACACACACACACACACACACACACACACACACATATACACACACACACACACACACACACACACACACACACACACACACACACACTGTACAATGTGCAGTGAGGAGCGTAGACTTGGACAGCGTGAATAATCCCCATCTGTTGAGGGAACATGCTACGTTTCTCTGTGTCCGTCTCTCACTCGCTCACTCCGCATGCACACGCACACATAAACATACAAACAAACGCGCACACGCAATCCCCTAGGACGCTAAGAAGGTCCCTTGCCAGCCGCAGAGAAAAAAGCAAATGTTTGCACTGCATGACAAAGTCCTCTGAGGACATTGCTACACTTGTAGGATTAAACTACTTTCAAAAAAAATATACTGCTCTTTTGGCAATAAAATCTGAGCTGAAATAATTTGAACTGAATAAACACTTTCCTTGTAGATATGTTTTGGCTGTACGGCAGCAAAGCAGGGTAAAAAACAGTCCTGAATCACTTCCTCAGGAGGTTTTTACTGCGGGGCATAGATAGCCATATACTATAGGTTTCCACTTAGTGTTGTTGAATTCTAGGTTGTTGCTGCTATTTATATACTGTAGTCACACGGAAAATGAAAAATGTTTGTCATCTATTCAGACTTGATTTGTGTAATTCTGTTTTGGTTTTTTTCGTTCAAAGACCCGGAAATTATGGCTGTGCACATTGAACGCGTAAATCCTTACTAGCATTTGTTTTGACTAGTTTGAACAGCCAGATGCCTCAGGTCAGACAGAGTGAGAAAAGTCACTGTGGAAAGCCTGGATGTCTGCTGCTCCAAATGGATTAAACATCATTTTGACAGTTTGGAACAAGATGGAGGGGTGTGAGGGGGAGGTTGAATCTCAACTATAATTTTACATCAACTGAGCATGATAGAGCTCTCTATCTCTGTTAATAATCTAGTTCTGTTTGATTTAACAGAGATTCATTTTGCCATCTCTCTACTGGTTGCTTCTGGTCTTTATTTTCAGAGAATACAATATCAAACAGTTGACCTAGCTAATAAGCTACATGCTGATGATGGAAATCTTTGTCAAAAACCTGGAAAGCAACTATCAAATAATAGGAAAATAAAAGCAAAATAAAATAAATAAAATCTAACTGTAACTCTAATTCTTTTCAACTTTCAAAGGCACCAAAGTTTCTCCTACGCATTTGGACGGGTGAGCTTTATTCAGTTGGTTGCAATCTGCAACTTCACCACTAGGTGCCACCAAATCCTACACACTGGTCATTTAAAGAGTCGCCCACTCAAGTTTTTTCCGATATTCTGAACTGTTTGGTTAGTTATGCTGGGATTTCATGAATTAATAAGAAATATACAGTACCCCATCCAAACAGGTGCCACAAAAGTAACAGGACATTGTTTGTCTTCACTTCATTTTGTTCCGCTTTCAACGAGAATGTCATGAGTGTATCAGTTCATAATCAGTAATCAGATCAGAGTTGGATTCATACGTTGTATTGTATTGGATGGTAATGATCCGTTTATAGTCTGATGCTGTCAACTTACACTGTAATTATGGAAGCAACACAACCAACTGGTTTTCAACTCTCACTGCTTCTCTGTCATTTCACCTCAGTGCTGCTCTCGTCCAACGGGGAGCTGCTGTGACACACAGAGGAATGACCCTGGGTGTGCGTGTGTGTGTTTGTGTTTGTTGTGTGTGTGTGTGTGTGTGTGTGTGTGTGTGTGTGTGTGTGTGCACCAGTATTTGTGTGTCAACAAAACGATGAAACCTGACACATCCATCCAAATATTGCCGGGAAAGCCCTCTGACGCAACCCACATGTCAAGCCAATCACGCTCATGCAAAGGTGTTGTGTCTGGCCTTTGTGTGTAATCTGGCTGATGACAAATAGTGGCACGAGCAGCTAGCAGCACAGCGCATGTGTGAAAAAACTCCTTTAACCTTTGCAGGCGACATCTGCAGAACTGCGTACAGAGCAAAGGAATATGCAAAGCGACTAAGTAATTAAAGCAATTAGTACCATCTCCTTCATCTCTTCAAAGCAAAAGAATCAATTCACCCAAATTACAAAAGACATACTTTCTTACTAACCCATTGTGGTAGAAGAGTCGTGGAAATTAGCTCTAATGAAACCAGCTGACTATGAAATCTGTGGACTTACAGAATTACAGGGACATTGGTAATTCTAGCAAACTGACACTCTGGGACCATTTAAATTACATTTTTCTGATTCTAATGCAGAGAAAAGATTAAACTTTATATAGCTGCCTCTTTTTAATTCAAACTATTTCAGGCGCAACACGAAGCCTGTTCTGAATGTTCCTTATTGTTTCTAAGTGCATGTTGTTTCATACAAATAAACTAAAACGTCAACTAATAAAGGCACTTTTTTAGTTGAATAAAGTGTACTTACGCCTACATTAAAACACGATCAATGTGTTCTTTAACAGTGTTCAGTAGCCGAGAATACACATTTCAAACCCTTAACATCCTTCCAACATGCTGATCTGTAACATCACATCTTATTGTTGCCTTTAACAACAACAGGGATATATACATGGCAGCACGGCGTAACGAGGGATGTTCCATATATTTCTGTAAACCCAACTTAATCCATTTCACTACCTAGACTTTCTGTATTTTCCAGTGCCACTCACCAGTTCTTGGTTGGTAGAGTTGGAGTCGTCTCCGGGGAAGGGGATGTAGATGGCTAAGGCCACACAGTTGGCAAAAATAGACAGCAGTATAAAGATATCAAATGGTCTGGAAATGGACTGTTAAGGAACACAGTTATCTCAAACAGAGAGACATTTGACAAAAAAGCTAATGGTATCCTTCGACAGTGCAGGGCTTCATATATTTAAGTTGATGACATGTCCTTGTTTTCTCTCTCTGTCTTTCTCACTGTGGAAGAAAAAAGCAGGCAGAGAGAAACTGTGCTATTAAATAAAATAACAAAAGTAATATATTATTAAAGTTAAATGCAGTTGATAATGATATAAGGCTTAAAAATCTAAATTCAGCTAAAAATGTAAAAATAAAGCATCTTTGTTCCATCAATCATTCATTAATGAACCCAACCCATCATCTAACATTTCATTTAAGCTTTCACACAAAGCTGCCTTCTATGTATTACACATTCATTCCTACGCTAATCTATGAACCAATCTATCCATACAAACAATCATAATCCATTCAGATACCCAAGCATCTGCCATCCATCAATTCAACCAGAGCCTCTGTCTCTGGGCTAAAGGATACTTCCACTCAACCAGGCTGATGCAGGCCCTGCGGATCGGGTTGTTGAGGGTGAGGCAGAACAGAGCTCTGGGTGGCCTGCTGTTAGTAGATCCTCCCTGCTTTTTGCTTTTAGCATACTGCTGCCTCTTCCTCTGCGCCAGTGAGCCCACAGGCGGTGGTCCAGTGGTGCAAACTGAGGGCCGTGAACTCATGTCGGGCTTTGCACTATCGCCCTGTGCTTGGCGTGCAGCGCTAATGGCGGCATGCCAAGCAAGTACTGGGCTGACACCAGAACCAGTGCCACCGGGGCCCTGGATGCCACTGCTGGCCCCAATGAGGCCAGAAGAGGAGCCGACAGGCTTGCCAGTGCTGGGCGGGGCCTGCAGGGGCTCTGGCGTATGGAGCTGGTGCAGACGGGTTTGGCTTTCTGACCAGAGAGCCGAGGCGTCGTTGGAGGGAGTGGTCCTTCTGTTGCTGGCATACTGTGCCCCTGGAGGGTGGCAAACAGAGACAAAATGGTTATAACATTTGGATGCTGTGAGTGAGTATAAACAAAAACATCTGCAAACATCATGTTCCCCATGCAACAGCTGATGTTATGTCAGCGTAGCTCAGGAAACTAGCTAGCATTTTTATGAAGTTTTTATTTGTAGAACAATAAAACAACCCTAGTGAAAATGCAGTCTAAAGGTTGCTCTTTGCCTATTCTCCAAAGTCATTGCTATATACACTGCTGTCTGCCACTGTGTCATTTCTGGTGCAACCACTGGGGGGAACCAACATTGAGCATTTAAAATTTTAACATAGCAGCTTTAACATTAACTACTTAAAGTTATATGAATTATTTACCATAGATTTAATGTCATATAATGCTGAGATTGTTTTAGAATAAGCCTATAAGGAGCAAAATGCTTTCAAGATGAGGTAAAAAAATGTATTTGTCTGTTGCTCCAAGTGTTAGTGATAACTGGATAATATAAACCTCATATATCAGTATCTATTCTGCAGGACCCTTCTCTTCCCATAACTCAAGTAATAGGTGTGTAATGTGTAACTACAGTACTTCTGCTTTTTACAACAAACGGTAAAGTGAAGCAAAGACAAAAATATCAGTGAGTCTGATTTTCTCAATACAGAGTGCTCACTTGCTGCGAGTTCAGTATTTCAAGTTTTCAATTCCTGTGAACAGAGAAGTGCCAGATTTTCACTCGGGCCAACTGGAGACATATAACGAGCTTCAATTATGGCACAGGAGATACTAATTTTGTAGTTTATGCAGATAAAATCTGTGTAGTTTTGCACTGAAGTCCTGCCTTGCACAACTTTGATACTTGCTGAAACAAGGACAAAGGAAGATGAAAGCTGAACTTGAAGTTGTAGAAATGAGACAGACAGAAAAGTGAGAAGAGGAGGAAGGATTGGTTTGAAGGGAGTGTGGAAGAGAGAGAGAGCAGAACAGCCTGCATGAATGAGAGAGACAGAGAGAGTCATTAAAATCAATGCAAACCACGAGTGAAAAAGACAGTGCCCTTGAAACAGTCACTTTGGTTGACTGCAGCTCTACAGCAGAACCACAGCAGGGACTACCAACATTTTGTCATCTAACTAAAACAGAACTCACACTGGGTTGATTAAATCAAAGATCATCCATCAGAAATGTATGTTAAAAGCATCATAACTGACTGAGAAAGACACAGAAAGAAAGATAAATGAATCCTCTCATAAACGACTGATTGAAAGGATGAATTAATACCCGGTATAGACAGTTGGCACCAAACTCCTGGTCAGATTCCTGATCTTTCATTTTTGATCTGTTACTGTTATTTAGATCAGGGTTTTGTTCATGTTAAGACCACAGTGAGTCTGTATTTTAAAGATAGTTGATACTGAGCAAGGTAACGTGAATTAACCCAATCAGATCAAACAGGTGAGATATGCTTGGAGAAATATATTTCAACACAAAGTCACAATTTCTAGTCTGAATGAGGGGGGTGATGATTCTGCAGGAAACTCCTCATAACATGACTACAGGTGCAAGATAACAAGTGCAGCCTGTCATATAAAGACGATAACAACCTGTCTTGACATTTCTGGGACGCAACGGGAATGATCCCAGCTGCCCTGATGGACGCCGCACATCTGGCACAGGTTGCTGGATAACAACTGTTGACTTTCAGCTGCTGTTCTCGACTTTACTTTGAACCTGTGGTGGCTTTTGTAAAAAAAAAAAAAAACTACAGCGTTTCGTTTGTCCACTTCTAACAAGCTAGCCTGACTGACACTTAAAAACTAACGGCATTCACTTGAAAAGTTGATTTAGCGTCTCTCGGTTCATTATGGAGGGCGCACAAATCCAACGCATCCTCCACTAGCTGTCACATGGCTCCTGAACGACCACTTGACCATAACATTACAGCAAACATAGTCAACCATTTTTTCTGAGAACAACTCGTTTTCCCAGTGGATATGATGACCGCTGTCATTACAGTCATACAGCCGAGAACAAGCACTCACAATGCCAACAGTCTGTCTGTGGACTAAAATAAGTTATTAAATATAATCACATAGAATAAACAGACATCCAGAGAATAAACCCAACCAGCGCTCTCGCCCCCTCTCTCTCTCTCTCTCTCTCTCTCTCTCTCTCTCTGTCTCTCTCTCTCTCTCTCTCTCTCTCCAACTCTCTCCTCCTGCGCTTCACGCACCGCGGCTCTTTTTTTCTTTTTTTTTTTTTTTTTTTTTTACCTTCAGACTGTTCATCTGCTTCTTGCATCCTCGCTCCACATTGAAAAGATCCGTTTTAAATCCAACTCATCGTTGGGGGAAAAAAAACATCCGAAAGGGAGTCGACGCGCGAGCCGTTAACCTGAATCATAAAATGTTTTCCGAGCGCAGACCCTGAGAGGAGCGCCAAACATTTTTCGCCACATCCGGGTGCCTGCCTGCAGATTCACGGCGGATCCGAGAGGACGCGCTGACAGCAGCAGTCAATCCACTGCTGTCAATTACTCTCAGTGTGGCTGCGGATGGTCAGATGCAAGTTAGAGCAACCACAGGCTGCAGGATACTGGAGGCGCATTCAAACTGGGAATGCACCTGTTGCTGCCCGTTGCACGTCAACAGCGCGTATTAAACGTCTCCAACTCCAAAGTGAGGTCTTTGGCAGGATGGCCAAATGTTTCCAGATAGACAAAGCTGGTGATTTATGCTTTAAAAAAAAACATTAAAACAGCAGTTTCGAATAATTCGGATGGCATGTGAATGGATGCAAGACATCCATCTTTATAAAACTGGGCAGATGACAACAAAGCAAACGAGTATTCAGTCTGCTGACTAGAGCCTGTTGCATACATTATATTAACAATGTTTGTATAAATTAAGAAGCATGTGACACAGTGACACAAACACAGAGAGACGCCCACAAATCAATGGCCTGGTCTCAAATCTGAAATTGACATTGTTGCCTTATGTCTGTTTGACTTTAATTTTAAAAAGTTTTTAAAAATTTCAAAAAGACTAAAAACTCATTTTCCAAACCACGACTAAAAACACAGCATTTGGACATTGGTAGGCCAACAACATGTATTGAATCTGCTTAATCTGACGCAAATGTCCCAGTTTTACACTGACTCACGAATGCAAAGGAAAACACTCAGATCAGTGGAAAGTGGCAGACTCTGTATCTGACTTTCTCCTGTCAGGATCATTTCTGAATAGAAGGATAAACAGCATGTCTTCATCCTATCCACCCGGTTAAGCCCCTAAAGAGTAACTCTATTCCAGGTCCTGGACTTACCCCTCAGGGGTCTTCCCCTTATAATGAACGGCATTCTGTCACCTGGCTCTTCTCTGGGGCCTCATAGCGCCGTTTTCTGCCCTCACTCCTCGGCGATTGGAGAGAAAATGAGTTGTCGGAGCTATGCTGGAAGGTTACCAGTGATTGGATTACCTGTGCCTCTATGGGGGATAACAGTTTCACAGTAGCGCGTAATCCTCCGATTATAATCCCTGCCCCAATGTTCCCTCAACAGAGGCAGGTGATGCAGGCAGCTGCAGCTCAACTGGACCAAACAACCGATCAGATAAATGTTTGTTTAAGAAATGTATATATGATGGTTTTAAAGTATTCTTTGCAAATATTCACAATACATATACAGCACTGGGGTCTCTCCAAGGATATACTGATTTGAATTGTTTTATGTATATTTTCTGTCTCCAGTGTTTAATTTTGGTTTGGCTGCGTAAAACAAAAAAGCCAAAAGGGTTTGTGAATTAACTTTAACTTCAAACAAGTGGTTCACTAAGTGAAACTCACACTCAATAAGAAAGGATGATAGCAGCTCTTCACTTGTAGTCTTGTACAAAGACTCTCACCACATGTCAGACTGACAATAATAAGAGCAGCAGCGCAGCCCTGTGGTATATAACATGAAGATACTGTCAACATTTTTATATCTATTAGAAAGAATATATCAGTCTTTGGTTCACTTTATTATTTTATAAGTCAAATGTGTCTAATATTTATCACCACCATCTCTTGTGTCTATTTTCCCCTTAATTATTCCCACAGTTTTCTCTCTTCGGCGTTAGCCTAATTAAAATATATGTTGCATAACTAGTTTTTATTGATTTCTTTTGATTTTTTTATTGATTGATTAAATGTAATTTAATTCAAAACGCACACACAGCAGTAAGCAAATTATTTGGCTAAATTATTGTCAATTATTTCCAGGTTTGCACTTTAAAAGGAATAATATTTCTGTCATCACATGAAGGGATTTTAATCTTTAATATCATTTATTTATTTGTAATATAACCAGTTTGATATCAGAAAGCACACCGGCTGAGGCTGAGCTCATAAAGCAGACCACCATTTCCTACAAACACTATGATTTTAAGCGGCACTCTAACAAATTGTGAATGGCCTAATTTACATTTCAGATTAATCTCCGCGGATTAAATAAACCTGTCGGAAACTTTTTTGGGGGAGCAGCGGAAGTCATAAGTGTCTGCACAAATCCGTCCGTGCGGGAGCAACAATCACATCCAAGATGGAGACCGTGAATGCTGGACATATGATGAGCCTAGCAGCCCTACAGAGACAGGACCCGTACATACACAAACTGCTCGATGTTACCGGACAGGTTGCTCTCTACAACTTCAACTCCAAAGCCAACGAATGGGTAAGTTTATCAAAACAACCGGAACAGTTTCGTTTGTTAGCCATCAAAAGCATGCTAACGATTAACTTAGCATGCTAATGCTAGCTCCTCGATAAAACATTAAAAGCACTCAGAAATATGTTAGTATTTGTTCAACTGTAACTTCCCCCGTATGTCCACAGACGTACTGTTCAGATACCAGTGTCTCTGTGTTATTGTGTTGATGACTTTCTCGATAATAAGTTATAATCTTTATTTTACCTGCGCTAACAGAAGTTGTGTAGTGACGCTAACAGGCTGCGTCCGTCGCTATTATTCAGCATGTTTAGGGATTATAATCTATAGCTGTTGTTGTTTCTGACTCATAATGTCACGTATCGTTTCAGGAGAAGACCGAGATCGAGGGCACCTTGTTTGTTTATGCGAGGTAAGCATTTAAAGTGTCTTTAATCACTGAACACGACGACCCTGGAGGCTGTTTACTGCACTTACGTTACGTTTGTTTGCGCTGCCAGTTGACGTATTGTGCGCACGTGTGTAGGCCGCAGTCTTTGTAAACAAACATTGTGCTGCGTATTTTATTTACTCTTGTTTTAATACTTATTACTGCTTTGTGCACACACTGGTTCTTCATTAAGCCTCATGTGATTGTATGTGTGAAACCCGTACACTGTTTCTATTCTGAAAGAATAAAAAACTATTCAGATGTGGTGATTGATCAATAGTTGTTTATTACAATAAAGTATAAATATATTGGAGGTAATTACTTTAAAGTAGAAGGATTTTTTTTGCGTTTCTCTTTACATTCAGATTTGTTGGCTGTTGGTCATATTCAATAGGCAACTCTGGTAACTTATGGTCATATGCCCTAGTTTTTAAAATGTAAAAAAATAATGCCTCAGCTACTTATGGAACTAATACATTGATTGATCAGTAATGAAAATATCAGTCAGTTGTAGTCCTCCTTTATCACTGTAGTGATAAAGGAGTAAACAGTGCATAAGTGCTTAAGATGACGTAAAGTGTGAGCAGAGGTGGTTTTTATATTTTGTCAGAGTATTAAGTGTTTGTAATCTTCATCTAAGGTCTGCCTCGCCTCGCCATGGCTTCACCATCATGAACCGACTGAGCGCAGAGAACCTGGTGGAGCCAATTAACAAAGACCTGGAGTTCCAGCTGCAGGATCCATTCCTGCTCTATAGGAACGGCAACTGTGAGTATTTTGTAGAATAGAAGCTCTAAAGCAGTAGACACCATACACAGTGCAGACATATTTCTAGTTTGCTGTGGACTGAAATTTGATGTAGAGATTATTATTCACTGTCTGCGATCCAATATTTTTTGAGAGGTTAAAGGCAGCAAGAGCCATGAGCCCAACATAGAGACTCAACGGTCATGAAACTTTGCTGTATCAACAAAGACTACATCAAATAAATGTATACACTGTGCATACTTAGCAAGCAGACAGCAGTACAGGTTGAGCTGACATTCACTATCACACACACGCATTAAATGAAACAGAACATAATGTTACCTCTGAAAATGCCGAACAAACACCTCCCCAAGGTTTTCTGGAACATCTCTTTTCCCTTTTGCTTGAAGTCATTTTGCCGTCTTGGAGTCTCATTTAGCAAGAAAATTTCTTCTGAACAGCTTTTTCCACTCATGACCTAGCAGACAGCAACAGTTTCAGCTTGGTTTTCCCACAGTCAATATCATTCTGCATTGGGTCAGCAGCCAAAAGACCAATGTGTTTGATTACTAATCTGACTACTCCTTGATATATATTTTATTGTACAAGTTGTTCTTTATCCAGAGAGGTGCCAGTACTGCAGTAAACCTCCCTTTAGCTTTATGGAAAGGGTTCAACAGGAAGTAAGCTTAAAAGAAAGTAGTGATGAAATTTCTCAGATCTTCAAAAAGTAACTGACCGCGTTGCCACCGAGGTAATCTATTAAAAGTCTGAACAGGAGTTTCATCAAGGCAATGAACAAGGAATTTGACTGTTTTCCCATTTGTTTGCTTATGAGAAAAAATAACATGGCCAGGGTCAACGTCAAAGTAGACTGCTCTCCTTTGGGACATGGTTTGCCCATCAGCCTGGCTGGTATGGACGACATGATGCAATTTCTTGTTAGTACTGAATCCAGAGCAGCTTCTCTGGTGGCTTCACTTGAGTCGAAGTGCTGTTTTTAGCATTTTAATTCCTCAGAGTCGGTTGAGTTGCAGACAGATAAAACTGGGTGCTGTTGTTCTAATGCTGGTCGACCGTGTTCCTCAGTTATGTTGGAGATGTTTCCACAAATACAGTCCCCTTTGCAGGTTGACTGGTTGGAGTTAATTTTCTCTGATGGTTTCTTCTCCTGGCTTTTATTCCATTAGCTGTTTTTGACTACTTGTGTAGTTCTCTTGTAGTTTTTTTCAGTCCATTTGTGCTCTTCAGTAATGTTACTCACTGGCTGAGGAAGCGCTCAGCTCTGTAGTGCCTGTGTTTGTTTGTGCTCCTGTGAAGCTGTAGTTGTTGTGGTATAGATTCCAGGTTTCTAATCGTGAGAGAGACAGAGAGAGGGAAATATCTTCAAGATAGTCGTAAAACGCCCGCCTCTGCTGTGAACTGGAAAAAATAAAGAAGCATCGATGAAGGCTGAGTGGGAGAAAGAAGTTTGAAGAGCCAACAGTCCAACACAGGGAGGATGGATTCTTCAGAGAGATGTTGATAATGAATGGTTATTTGTGTCTTACTCCAATCCTTTTTGAGTGCTGGTGAACTCACTGCCTGAGGCTCATGTGTGTACTCAAAGTTGTTAAGAGAGACCAGTCTCCACACACACACACACACACACACACACACACACACACACACACACACACACGCTTCTCTCTCTCTCTCTCACACGCCTGTTTACACCTCTACATATTTCCCCTTGGTAGCAGTAGATGCTGCAGGGAGGCAAACACTCCAGTTGCTAGGTTACCTCAGCTTCTTGAGGGACCTTGAGTACACCTGTGTTTTATCACACACGCACACAAATGACACACAGGCAACGTTCAATCAGCTAGCTATTGTTTCAGCAAAAATACATACAGACATACAGTTTGCTTTTTTTATTTAAATTTTATAGTGCAACAAGTAGTCAGTTTCCCTTGGGTGACGGTGATTGTGGTGTCATTTGTTACTGTTTTGTTTAGTGCACCCATTAACTTAATTTATCAAGGAACAAACGTCATATGTGATGCTGCTTCTGCTACACGGTGTAATATATAATATTTGTGATTTTCTTGCAGTGGGTATCTACAGTATTTGGTTCTATGACAAGAGGGACTGTCAACGCATCGCTCAGCTGATGGTCAAGTAAATATCCAGACATGTGTATACTGTATCTGTGTTTGGATGAGATAGGATTCATCCTTTAGGTGTTTGTTTAGAAGCAGCTCTACTTTCTTCACAAGGAGTATTTGAATTTAAATAACGCTTTAACTCTCCCCCAGGATTGTGAAACAAGAAGCAGACCATGCCCAGAGAGAGTCACCAGAGAGGGCAGAGCCGCGGAGGACCAATGGTGTCGCAGAACCACGGCCCATCGACATCCTGGAACTGCTCAGCAAAGCCAAGGAGGAATACCAAAAGGTGAGGAGGCAAACGCAACATGTTTCTTAGGTTCTTAGAAATGATTTCAATACTAGCATTTGTTACTTCCTAGCTATACAAGACTTTACATTTTCATTGCAGATAATATGTACAAGGAGCTTAGATCAGACTGTACACAGTAAAAATGAAGCATTTGTAGCTCCTGTACAGTAAAACACCAACGCAGAGTCTGAGGAATAGATTCTGGATTTTTCATATGCCGATGGAAACACTTTCACAGGTCTGACTCAGCAGGTACACATTTATGAGTCACACACATGCAGATCTGAGATTACAGTGGTACTAAATGGAGAATTATTTCAGGTGTGGGGGTGCCTATTTAAGCATCTAGAGGTGAAGTCTGAATTAATGCCTACTCTGGTACCTTAACCACTGCTTTTTGTGTATTTGGTTGTTTGTTTTTTATTGAAAATACCATTTAATTTCTGTTTGTGTGTGTGATGCAGGCTCAGACAGGTGAAACAGAGGTGTCTGCAGAGCTTAATATGAAAGCAGCGATCAGCGCCACAGAGCACGTGCACGTGCACAGCACACCAAAACCTGAAAAGGTACATACATTATACAAACATTTATGCAAAGTAATTCTTTGTCTGATTATTTATCCATTTATCTATATGGTTATATTTTGAGAGTGTTGTCATGCTGTTAACTTTGGCCGAGCAGGTTATTTTTATCAATCAATGAATTACCTCCTATATAAAATGGAGAACAATGCCCATTGCAAGTTTAATGTGGGATCTCTACATTGCTGGTTTGGTCCAACCAACAGCCCAAAAGTTAATAATATTCTGTTTACAGTAATATAAAAGAGAGAGAAAGCCATAAATCCTCACATCTAAGGAGTGTTTCAGCACTGCTTTGTTTTGTGATTGGTTTCCACCCAGCTCACAAATGTGTTCTTTTTACCCAGCAGAGTTCTCATACAATGGTGAAGCAGATCACAGTTGAGGAACTCTTTGGCTCGTCCCTCCCTAAGGACCCCTCTCTACCCACCATGCCCAAACAGAACACCACTACTGCATCCAGTGACCCCTCCACTGTTTTCCTCCAGAAACAGGCTTTTCCCACTCCAGCCCACCAAAACCCTCTCCTCCCTCCCCATCTCACAGCCCAAGACCCTGGGTCAAACCAGCGACATCAAGCCCCTGGCCTGCTCCCAGCTCCATACACGCTACACCCCAGCCCTGTTTTCCAATCAGTGGTCTCCAGGTCAGACCCTCAACCTCTGTGCTCGGTCTCCCCTCTCATGGTGCCTCCTGCTGGCTCAGAGCCCCGTGCCGCTCCCCCTGGTCCTACAACACCGTCAGCAGCTGCTACGGCCTATTTAGGACAGGAGATACTCGGCACGCTCAAACCGTCAGTGTCATCTGTGGGTTCGGACATCCACAAACCTATCCTCGCACCCAACTTCCTGCCAAGCACGCTGTTCCCACCCCACAGCTTCCAAGAGCCCATGGGGAAACCCCTTCTCCAGCACAGCAAAGAGATAGATGTTTTCTCTCAACCTCCAAACCTGATCAAACCAATGTCTGTGAGTATGACGATCTGTTTTCTGATTTCACCATTATCTCATGCTCTCATGTATTCGATTATACCATAACAGATTAGGTTATAATCCAGCATGTCGTTTGTTCTTGTGCTCTTTCCTTTTCTATTCTCAGGCTGTCCCCATGAGTCCAGGCCTTAATGTTCCAGGGCCAGAAATGTCTGTGCTTCTCTCCCCCAGCGCCTTCCAGCAGTCAATCAATAAGACAACAGCAGCCGCATCAGTGGTCCCTCCTTCCCCCTCCGAGCCCCCCTCCACCTCTGTAGGAGCCATAGAGTCTCCACAGGCGCCCTGCAGCAAAACACAACTACAGGAGACTCTGATACACCTCATTAAGGTACAGCTAGGGCATAAAATGCATAAAAGCTTTACTTTCAGCACATTTGTGTGGAAAAAGTTTAGGCTTTTCCCCAGACTCAAGTGTAAAGTTAAAGTCTGTTCAGCCCAATTAAAAAAAACTAAAAGAAAATCTAGTAAGCAGGTAGTTTTGGTTTAATTTTAGGGTGTCTGCACCACAGGAACTTTCCCATGGGACCAAAAATCTTTTGATCAGAGGAACCAGGGACTAAAACCATGTTTTCACCACAGGAACATTCCCCAGAGACTAGGAGCCTTTTGAAAGTTTCCACTGCACGTACTAGGGTCTAAATTAAGTTCCAGGGACTTTATTTTAGACTTGCAGTGCTGAACATGTCTGACTGATCGAGTACTCATAGCATTTTATTTCAGCCAGCATTTTAAAAAATCTGCAGCCGTTTGTTGTGCTTCAACACATCACCATGGATCGACAGTAGAAAGCACACGACAGATGGTCCAACGTCATCAGTTGGTCAGCCATTGCTTTTACATACATCAGTAGATGAATTTGCCTGATTCTTGCAGATCTTTCGGCCACGGTGGAAACGCAGACTGAAACAGGCTGAAGAAGCCTTTTAGTTCTTTTGATTAGTAGGTCCTGGGTCTAAAGGTTCTGAGTACTTTAGGTGGAAACGTAGCTTAAATTCAGTCCCTGTGTGATAGTTCCCATGTGGCAAAACAGCCCCTGCTCCAGTTAAAGTACTTTCTGATAGTTTAGGAACTTTTGGGACTGACAGTTGACGATTGGTCAAACACAAACCCAGTGGCACTTACAAGTTGTGAACAGGATGCTGTTAGTATCATAAATTGGGATGCAGGGTGGACATTTCTTGACCTTTTGTTAACTGTAAAACCTTCACAGATCTTCATGGTTCTTCAGATGTGCTGGAAAAGCAAACAAGAATGTTTAAAAGGGACTTCTAGTTCTTAGTTTGCATTAAATTTTTTGCATGAATAACAGTCAAGTCAGGTTTTATGAAGATGTTCATTCTGCCTCTGCCCCAATATGGTCGAGGTAAAAGGAATTTAATTTGTTAAATGACATTTGAATAGATCACTAGCAGTCTAAAGTTTTAATTTGAACTCCTGTCTGCTGAACACTGATTCTGAAAAGAAATGAGTGTTTCAATGTGAATCTGTGATCTGTAGTTTTAAAAGTTCAACCTTGAAAACACTAGACGTCTAAACTGTTTTACAGATTGTTTGTTTCTAATGAAAAGGTGAATTGTCTGCACACACACACCCACAGGTATAGTTTGTTCACTCCTCTCTTGTTACTTCCTTCCTGTCTAGAACGACCCAGACTTCCTTGGTGCCATTCACGACGCTTACCTGCAGAGTCTGTCCAAGGACTTTAGCAACATGAAGCTATAGTCTACTTCAACCACCGCTGTTACTTTCCGTGCTACGACCCCTTTGTGACCTGTGAAGAATCCAGAAGTTATTGGGAGTTAAAAGAAGTGCAGATAACAGGTTTATGACACTTCACTGTACACCACAACTCTTCAGAACTAGTCTGTGTCCTGAGGGTTACTATTAGCATGCACCACACCATTTATCCCTTTGATCCTGACTAACTTTTTGAGTTCTCGTCTGAACACTGATGCTGTCCTGGCTCCCCGCGTTATTGTGGATCGTCTTTTTGTCCACTTATATTGAACCAGAACTACTGTGGGACAGAATATAAAAATTCCCAGCGTGGCCTTGGGTTGTCGTTTTTACTTTATAAATATGATAAAACTGTCGGCCATGTTCTGGTAAAGTTTAGCGGTTGCTGGTTTAATTCATTTGAGGACGGGACCACAATGTGGAGCTTCTGTGACCTCAGATCTTTTCTCTTTTGACCTTGGGACAGAGAATCTTGCAGCTTGAACATTGTGGAAATCACAGATGCTGCTTCTCTTAATCACCTCACGTCTTTGGAGATCTCGCAGTGCGAGGCTACGGGGACTGTGATTACACTGACACTCCAACTGCTTATTAAGAGAAAGACTGCTGTGCTGGGGACTTCAGGACTGTTGTAGCAGACAAACTGTCCCACTGTGTGGTGTTTAAAAAGGACTACTAATTTTTCTTTCTTTACGTATTAAACCTTCCCCCTCAAAGTAATGCTGAGGTCTGTATATTTTTGGTAACATCAGAGACTCCGAATAGCCGTTACAGTCTTTGTGGCATTTTGTGTTTGTCAGTGTCGGGACCGGACTGTTGAGAAACGTTTTTAACCCTTGTCCCAGGAAGATCAATAACTTCAGTTATTGTTTGGAGAAGCACTTGCAGCTCAGAGCTCAGACTAAGAATCACTTCCTCTCGGCTGCTTTTTTAATGTTATGTTAGAGACTGTGACGTGTTCAGAAAGACACAGACGAACGCACAAACCAGCTTCTTTGCAACCTTTCCTTTCTCCACATTTATCTTATCCTTGCTCTTTCTCTCTCTTTGTCCTTCTCCTCGTCTGTGTTGTTCATCTCTCCTCCACCAGCTGAGCTCGCAGTACTTTATGTTCTGGGAGGGGAACGTGCAATAGATAACAGTCGCAATGCCTTTAGGGATGCCAGCATTTTGGTGTATTTTAGGATGGTACAGTAGAGCTAAGTTTATCTGAACCTCTGGGTTCTGGTTCTGCAGCTGAGCGATAATTAAAATATAAAAACACAAAATTCTTCATTTTGGATTATTGTTTACATTCATTCCTTTTTAAAATTAAATTGCTCAGAAAATAGGGGGGACTGATCATTGATAATTCGTTTTATAGCTTCAGTATGTTTCAAACCAGTGGAGTTTATACCAGTAATCCAAATTAATGGTGAAAAATATAAACTACCTCCATTCCTGTCATTTTGCAGTAAAAGGCTACTGCAGCACAGAATGGTCAACCCTGCAGACTGCAGCGGTAACGGGAAGAAGCACATCAGTTTCTTCCTCGTGTGCAACGTTGAGTGGCTGTTGTGTGCCGTTCATGAACAAAGAAAACAAATCTTATGTACATCAGAAAATCAGCTTTCAAATATTAAAGAGGTTAATTATGTGGCATGTGTGCATTTTTAAATACACACAGCAGGTCGCTCACAGGTCTCATTATCCTGTTGTCACAAAATGTTCAGCCATATATAAGATCATTGAAACAGTCTAGAAATAATGTAAAAGCATGAAGATTTCAGTTGTGAGGTACAGTGATGTTTGACGTCAGCAGTCGGTTCATTAATGATCGGGCTCCTTTTTCACATGTTAGCGTTAGGATGTCTGTTCTACAGTTCTCTAAGCAATCAGTATACCAAGTCATTCCAGATGGAAATAGATGTTGGAAGAGGACGTTTTTTTTAATTTTTGCAAACAACATGAATGAAAAAAAATAATGTAATCAACCATTGGAAACAACTTAAGGAGTGATATGAATTTCTGCATAAATACCCGTCTTGATTGTGATACCACGACGTTGCATTTGGCTCTGTTTGAATGTATTTGACGTTAACTCGCAGTGTGTGCCTGTCTTGTTTTCTTCTGTGTCCTGTATATTTAAGTTGAACTCAGATCCACATTCTTTCAGAACCAGCTGTTAACCATGTTTTTCTTTTGCCAAAATTTAAATTTATAATGAAGAAAGGACACGTCTGCAGCCAGAGAGTAAATCAAACAATTTGTACATTGCTTTGCCCTGTTCTAATCTTTCATTTCAGAGGTCATCTTGCCAACATTTCTGGCATGTGTTGGTTAAATAAACACACACAGGAAGAATGATTGAATATTTTTAATGCCGGTCACATATTTAAAATTTTAAGGTTTTATTTTACACTTTTGGGATAATTTATCTTATTGGCCAGAGATATGATTTTAGGGAAGTCTTTGCAAATTACATTAATTTTCTAAGATTGTTGTCACTGTGCATAATTTGGTTTATCATGACTATTTTGTGATATTAAAGATTTGAAAATAGGGTTGTCTGTTTTTGTTTACTGCTGAGAGGATCTGTTGTGTTTCTATCAGCTGTTAATGGGATTTTTATTTTTGTATGTTTTAAACAAGCATTTTCTAAAAAAGCCTCCTAGGTTATTCCTTTTGCTGACAGTTTTTTGTAATGGCCTGTAGAAATCTAACTACATGATATGCTATTGTTTCTTTTGTTTTAATCCATTCATTTTCGGAAGTAAAGTAGATCAATGCAGTTTCTGTGTTTGACCACAAGATGTCACTGTGTGCTTACTGTTGTACTCAGCCATCCCTGGTCCTAACTGTCAACATTAAATGGTAATCAGTTGGTTTCATGCCCACGATGCAAGGGTTTATTTCATCAGAACTTGATCTGGGAGGTGTTCTGGGTTTAAGTGACAAAACAAAAGTCTCTGTCCTCAGTAGGGAGATCTTGATTAACTAGATTGGCCAGGAGAGTGTCGTTATCTCCCCTTTGATTGCCCTCTCTGGGTCCCCTGCTGGTCACATGTGGACGTACTCTTATCTGAGCCTGGCTTTGGATTTCTCAAGATCACAAGAGTAGAGGTTAGCCTCCTAAAAGTAACCTTTTATAACTGTGTCAAACCAAAAAGTTAAAATAACACTTGGAGAGTAAAACATCCATCCACCTTTAACCTGACTGGCGTGTAACTGCATGTAGGTGTAGCCGGTTTGTAGTGCAATTAATCAGGTCAGCCTCAGTGGGAAATGTCATTAAGGTAAGATTAGTCATTTGTGATCCTTCCTTCCTCTCTTAAGTGCTGTAGCTTCGCACGGCAGGTACACTTTATTCTTTAAAGAGATAACTGTCTGTCTCACACTCATGCTCAGCTCTGTATGTTTGCCAATTCTTTGCTGTTCAAAACTTATTAATGTCAAACACACCAGAACACACACACATTGGACCCTCCTCTGGTAATCCTTGGATCCACTTAAAACTGCCATTAGCTTATATTCAACCCAGGCATACAGTCTGATTGTGCACTTTACTTTGTCTTTACTTACACAGTAATCACCTTAAAAGCCAACATTTTAATGCCCTATCCTCATCTTTTTTATAAATATATTTTTTCCTCCAAAAACATGTGAATTCTGTTTAGAGGAGATTTGTTGGTGGTATTGCAGATGACCACTTACCATTTCACATCTATACTGCCACATGGTGCGGCTACAAGAAAAGTCCATTAGTGGGAAGGAGCCAACTGAGAACATATGTGTAGGATATATATATATATATATACACATACATATACACAGATTTTAAAACGTGGACGGGGGACAGGGAAGAAGAGCATCAGGGTTTTATTCTTCTCAACAGAATCTCTTAAATGTTAAAATAGAAGCTGTATAAAAGCTGGAAGGTATCACAAGTTTACATTTTGAACATGGTTTAATTATAAGTAATATTATTTTTATATCAGGTGAAATTAAGTGTACTCCACTACAATAAAATATTAAATATCAGTTAATATGAAAGGATCTATCGATCGATCTATCGATCTATCTATCTTGTATTTGAGTAAGTAAGAATATAAGGCTCCCTTCATTTAATGTAAATATGAACCAAACTAGAGAAATAAGGAGCTGAAATTGTTAATAATTCATTTTGCTTGAAATTGTACACTTTTGTTCTTTATGCAGGTTGTTTCCTTTTTATTCTCACTCCTGAATGTATGTGTCAAAGGGAGAGGGAACTTAATATAATACATGTATTGAGATTGAACCTGACCACAAAGTGCCTGACTGTGTGTAAGCGTGTACTATTGGCTGTGCTCACGCGTGACAGTTTGGAGTAACTGTAGGCTCCTTTTAGCCCGAGATTAGCCATATTCATAGGCTTTGCTTGCGAACACGCCCCCCTCCCCCCCCCCCCCCTCTCCCCCCTCCCTCTGCCTGTCAGCTCCAGCGCCAGCGTCTCTTTTTAACCCCTGCTGCCATCGTCCTCTTGCACACTCGCAGCCTTCATTCTCGGGCCAGCAGACCGGGGACTTTTAACTCTTAACTTCTTTTTAACGAGCTTGTGTGTGCGTGTGTGCGCTCTTCTTCGGTGCATCGGCCAGATGGAGGACTACCATAAACCGGACCAGCAGACGGTGCAGGCGCTCAGGAACATCGCCACCCGGCTGCGGATCAACTCCATCAAGGCGACAACTGCAGCGGGCAGCGGGTAAGAGGGTCCATATGGAAAGGTTAATCCACGCTGGAGATAGAAAGAAGTAATGGGGAAACAACTAAACATGGTTTCTGTCCTGGGTCGGTTACTACATGATTTAAAGCACTTTACTGTTTAAAGTTCAAAGTGACCGTGTGCTGGAATTTATAAAGAAAGTAAATTAAGACCATTTCCTGATGGACTGACTGTCCGCAGCACAGCAGCAGCACAAAGCTACAGAATGGCTTTATTATATTGCAGATGCAGAATATCTGCGACCTGCGAGGTGTAGCATACTGAAACTGAAGGACTTTGACTTTAAATTGTCTTAGTTTCGCGGGGCGTAAAACAGTCCTGTGCGCAATATGCATCGTGCGCAATTTACGCACAAAGAGTTTATTTTCCTTTTCACATCTGGATTTCAATTCACGAGCGCCCTAAGTGTCTGAGAGCAACGACACTGGATGCATTTATTTAACAACCGCTCCTTCAAACCATAAAACATTTATTAAACGGTGTCGGATTTGCTGCAGAGAGTGCTGCAGGTGCACCAGCGGTATGCTCTCCCTGAACCCCTCGCGTACTCTGCGATCGGTTATGTAAAGGAGGAGGAGCGGAGACCGGGTCGGTGCGTGATCCCGTGCTGCCAGTGGTGCAGCTCGTGGGGCGGCAGCGGAATGGAACCGGGAGACGCACGGACGCACGGACGCGCTCCTGCCGCTCCGTCCCGCGCCTGCGTGCGTGCGCCGGTGCAGACGTCAAGGAGATATAATGAAATAGGAAAGACACGTCCGGTGAGACATTTCAAAATAAAAAGGGGAATTGACAAACGCACTGCAACGTTTTTGGGGAGATAAAAAGAATAAGTGATTAAAATGAGAATAAATTGTGTGACACTGTCATTTCTGCGTGCCTTTTTTTAACATCCAGATATGGCTATCACACTTGTCATAGTCTACACAAAGTAGGTAGTTGTTACCTTAGACAGGCCTGTTGACTCTGCAGTTGCTGTATATGTCTATTATATACTGTTGCCTATATTTTATTATTTTATTTCTCATGATTGATCTCCAGGTAGGCTACTGTTCTTCAAGTCATTTGAGACAGCTGCTAGTGAAAGGCTGTTTGAATGGGAGGCTTACACCTGAAGCACTCTTGTTCCTAGTAACCATAGGATTGAGCCTTAAGTAGCCGAAAAATTATTAAAATTCCAGTTTGAGTTTCCAAACCTTAACCAAGTCTGTTGAGATGTTAGTGACAAAAACTGCAACATGTACAGAATAAACAGATTGTGACCTACATTTTCTATTCATCTTAGTTTTTATTAATTCCTTTGTCTTATCTGGGTCAGTGTTATAGCACTTTTCATAGAGCATCCTTCATCCCAAATAAACGTTGTACTTATTCGTCATCTCCTACTGGTTTTTGCTTATTGGATATTATTTGATTACATTTTCCATTTCAGGAGTGTAAAGAAAAAGGCCTTCAGTGGAGGAGGCCAGAGTGAGGTATTACTGGCATGTGGTTTGAAAATAAAGAGAAGAATAACATTCCAGATATAAAGCCTCTTATTAACCTATGTTGTATTGAATTGTCTTGACTTTAACAGTTTGGGACGACACATTGAATGATGTCTTTGTAATGTATGTGTGAGTGTGCATGTATGAGAGAGAGAAAGAAAGACATCCTCCAAATGCATTTACACTTCTGTGTGTTTGTGTGTGTGTGTGTGTGTGTGAGACAGAAAGACATACTGTATATGTACTTACAGACTGTCTGACCCTGATAAAGTCAGCCTGCCTACTGTCTGTCTTGCGTAACTCTCTGAGTACAGTTGGTCTGGCAAGAATTAACTCAAAGAGTCAAACTCCACCTCTGATTGCCACTTTGTGTCTCTTTTACGTCTGCATTCTTTCTCCTCTCTCCTCTGTGTCTGTGTGTGAACAGTATGCTCTGAAACATGGTTATAGATTTGAACTGAGTAATCTGGAGGCACAACAAATTTTTTATTTGGATTTCTGTATCTAATTCCTGTCTCGCCATCGTTTTGTTGCAGTCATCCCACATCATGTTGCAGCGTGGCAGAGGTCATGTCTGTACTGTTCTTTCATACCATGAAGTACCGACCCGAAGACCCCCGTAACCCCAACAATGACCGCTTCATCCTCTCCAAGGTAAAACACACACATCTAAAACAGCCGATTTACTAATTATAAGGTGACACATATTTAAAGACAGTGAATGTGTTTATACATGTGCATACATATATTTATTATTTATTTATTATAGTGTCACCAATGTCCAAATAACTCATTTATATAAGGCTGTTACACATTTATTACTATGCCTGATGTCTGTAAGATGGCAGTGGCATATTCCAGACTTTACTTTGCCTAATGTCATTCCTATGGAGCCCCTAAAGGGACATGGGGGAAAAAAAAAAAACTTAAACGTTTCTAGTGCGCACTAGATCACTAGAAACTTTTCTTTTCTTTTTTTTCCCCCATGTCCCTTTTAGGGGCTCCGTACATTCCTGATTTGATGCACTGATTTGAATGCTGTACTTATGTTAAAGCTCCTTAGGCTTGATGAGCATTTTATAAACTGTGATAGCAATTCTTGAAAATCAGGTACAGAGTATATGATGCTTCACTCTAACCTTTCACCTCTGCGTCCCCAGGGTCATGCTGCTCCTGTGCTGTACGCTGTGTGGGCGGAGACAGGCTACCTGAAGGAGAACGAGCTCCTTAACCTCCGCAAGGTTGACTCCATCCTGGAGGGACACCCTGTGCCGGTGAGGTGACGTTCAGACCTGCAAGAAGTTCTTGGTCTG